CAGTCGAACCAACGGCATTGATCTTTCTATCCGATAGGACCTATTGCGTGGTCCTGCAGCCTGATTGTACTACTAGGACGTATCTTCTGGCGGTGATATAGTCAACCCACCCGCAGATATTGTTCTCATCATGAGATTCTTATGAAGAACAAAATAGCCTCCGACAAAGTGTGCAAACTTTCGGTTATGGAATACTGAAATTCAATGTAATGGAGTTTAACGATCTTCGTCTTCATTGTCGACAGCGCCCTCCTTCTCGAGAAGTCGGCGGGTGCTCCATCTCAAAAAAGCATCCCTGAAAATCTTCTCCGTCGACAGATTCTCTCTGAACAACGTCGGGATGATGGAGGAATAGTGATGAAACTCATCTCACTTGCTGACCTGCTTCGTTGATGAGAATAATCGTTCTTGCCCCGCACTCCCCGCTGGGGTTGAAACAGCCAAGAACAGGTATTCGGTCACAGTGGATTCATCTTTATGCAGCGTCCAGTAGGATTTGGCATCCTCAGTGGGCATGGCTTCGGCTGTTGTAACTGCATGTGTCCCTGAGGCAATTGAGACTTCTAATATCAGATTTACTGACCTCGATCCTCACCATCTCGATTCAGGTAATCGAGAATCGAGTTGAGACTGCTTTCGTACGACACACGCGGAAACTTTTCGTTGAAGTATAGGATGTCTCTCTTCAAGAGAGTCTCTTGATATGATGTAGCTTGTTGAGCCTGTCATCACGGTTCCTTATCCAGTTAGCAGGATGGAAATGTAGTATCCACTTGTGCCGTCCTATGCTTTTTTCCAGTCTGAGCAGTCAGAATACGATCATTAACTTATACATTCCTATATGGCATCGATCAGTCGACCAGACGAGTCCACCTTTTCTCTATCAGTTTTCTAGACTCTATCGTGAGTGTTGGGCTTCCAGAAAGTGTGGTTAGCGTGTCGTGAACAGCTCTCGTTCCTTCCATGAAGTTGCAAGTATTAGCTTGCAAGCGCTCGCTCAAAACAATCAGCGGTTCTAGGAGGAATAATGCTTCAACGGCCGCTCGGTGGACTTCCTCATCGCGAAGCCTTCCCTCCAAACCATAGTACAGTTCCTTGATTTTATCGGACAAACTGAGAAAAAAACTGTCACTTACGAATCGTAAAGGGAGTCTATAAATTGTTGACTCTCCTGTATCACCTATCCCAATCTTCCTCGAGTATGCGGAGGAGATTCAATAGGGTGTCCCAGTTCGCTACTAAACGTGATAAGCTGTGAATCCCACTCACCCAGCGAGTTTCACCTGAAAAAGAAATATAGTAGCAATTCAAACCTGCGACCGTTCGCTGAGCGACGAGATAGTCTACTAAAGTGTGATACGTGAATCTACCATCCAACTAGAAGCCTGATGTTCCACCGTCGTCCACACTTGGACTCTTGGAGGGATTATATCAGACTCGCTCGCCGTGATGATCGATTTGTCGAACAGAGCTCTCGGGATCAGTATCCGCTTTGTCGGCTACCAATTTCCGGGATGGCTCCTCCTTTCAAGTGCTTGTACTCCCTTTTGACCCATGATTGTTGAAGAAAATGCCTCACCTCGCAGCATAGCTCAGCGAAAGGATGGAACTGTCCCCGACGAAGAATGGTTCCATCTCTCCGAAAAGTTGTCGACATCAACGCTTTAGCCAACAAAGCATTGTGATGGGCTAGGCAGCCCACACTGATGCAGATTATACCGTGGGCTTGGTATATCTTCTCAACCACGACCGTTCTCGCCTTGGCACAGCTGCTAAGATTATCACTTACCAGCCCAGTCAAGATGATTCCTCCTGAAGAACAACATTGGTGGTCACACTGAAATACAGTCCTTGAGTGGAGCTCTTGCTGGAGTCTCACTTTCAGCCAGCGGTTTGACGCATTCCTCCACCAGGAAGCTTGTGAAATGCTCGGTGGATTCCCTCTCCTTTCGCTTCAAGGGCCTTCCTTTATAAGGGATAATCTTGTCCTCGTAATATAAGGATGCTGATAGCATCTGGATCGGCGTGTATACGGGAGTCCACGTATCGAACATGACTCCTATTGGGCTTCCTCGTAATGATGCTTGCTCAACTTCAGTCATAGCCATGACCATATCCTGTTCTAAGAGCTTTTGCTTGATGAGATCGACTTTCCATCGTTTCAGTGATGGACTGGAGTTGAGTTTCCCATAGTTCTTATGCATTCCCCTGAGGGCCCATTCTAGGGTAGGACTCGTGATACTTCTGGCTGACCATGCCAATGACAGAGAAGCCCGAACCAAACGAATATGGAAAGCATCCCATGATATGGGATGCGTTTCATCAGCCCCCTTGATATCCTTGCCTGCCATTTTGCACTTTTTACTAGTCTGAGAGACACTCCTATTTGATTTCTTCGATGATACAGGGCGCGGTGGACGGGATCTGCCCGACATTGCAATTCAATGATTCAATGACTGAACGATAGTGTTGAAGTGTTTCATAACTCACCCCGAGAACCAAAAAATCCGCGAACGCTTGAGCTCCGCCAAACACACCGAGCTTCATACTAACTTGTGCGGAGGATTGCTCCGTACATGGTACGTGAAGTTTTCCATTTCCCCCACTCGAATAACCAAAGAATCAAGTTCTGTTGGAAATGACCTTGCATGAATGCAGTGATAGTTTGGTGAGTCAGCGTCTCCAACGTGAGATCGTATGCAATATACTCAATCGAAAAGAGCAATGAATTGCAATGCATAATGATAAAAGATCTATCCACCAGCGGCAGAACGCAAGAGCTCCATGCTACGAACATGGGCTGGCAGAAATAGGATCTTAAGCTCCCCTGCTTGATGCATAGACTTGACTTGTGAGATGGTATAGTCTCGACTTATTTGAGTTCCCTCAGTATACAGGACCCTATATCGCTTCTTGGTTTGTGATCGAAGGTTGGTATTCAACAAGAGATGCCCGCCAAACCATTGACCTCCCACAGAATGCTCACAAGCCACACCCTGAGGATCACTCATCAAATATTCATGTGTTATATGACGGGAGAGATCGTTGATCGCGATGATAGGGTCAACAGTATCATCGCTTTTGTTTATCCCAGCCTGCATCGACTCGTCGCAGACGAAATTGTCATCACATCCTCGGTCCTCGATTGACACGCCGCTATCTGAATAATGGATAATGTCATGAGGCTGCCTAAACTCCATTATCAGGCCCACCGTGATTGTTAGTCTGTGCTTTCTGTTCGGTCGTCGTGCCTCGTGAGAAATCAACAGCCTGCTGCGTGAGGGGGCTGCTACCGCTGAGCATATCTTGAATGCAGCCATCTGTTACTCGCTGTGTGCTCATATCGCGAGCCGGCAGTTTTCCCCAGCTAGTATAGCAGCTGCAGTGAAACGGTAGCGGCCTGTTCCAGTCTCCAGGGTCGAAATCCTAAGGAATCGACAGCATCTAACGATAGACCGTCCGGTGTAGCGCCCCGAACTCGTGGCGATCGCATAGGACAACATGTTCACGAGTGCATGATCAGTCAATTCACGATCAGGTCCCCATCGTAGCGATGGCATCGTTCGTATCACCTCATCGGCGCTACATGATGAATGCCTCGATCTCACTCTCCAACGTAGAGCGGCGTTATGGACAGGATCATAATCCTGCTGATGGCCATCGAGGCTGAAGAGAAGTTCCGTTGATGAACGAGAAGAACAGTACTCTCACAACATACTATGTGGGAACTACGTCGAACATAGTTTCCAGTACACGCTGCCCAGAGTAGAGCATTGGTCTACAGCGTAGGCCCTACACTGGGCAGCAAAATCAAGTCTTGATACTAGCCCAAGTGCGCCATCCGAACCTTAGGGCAGACTCAAGTTGAGTTAATCAACCAAGCCTCAAGAGTCCATGCACTCGAGTCAGATACTCGAGTCCAATACATAGAGGGGTAGCATGGGAAGGTGGAGTATTACATCCAATTGCGCTTATCGGCTCCGAGTGTTGCATCAGTCGGGTGCATCGAAGCAGGGATAGTTGCAGCAGCGTAGAGATAATGGCACAAGCTCTTAGCTCCATCTGAGAAGTCACCGCTAACTTCGCCGTCGTTGATGAACAAACTCCAGTAGTTATCGGCGGAGATACAACGAGTCGGTACGGTCGCGAAAGGACCTGTCGAATACAAAAAATCCTCCACAGTACTTCTGTGAGTTTGGTGGATCATCGAGATCGGAAATTGTATATCGCGTGTTACGTGGGAATTTCGGAGCAAAACGAACGGCGTACAGTGAAGACCTCTTACCTGTGTGCCTGAAGTAATGGATTATTGTACTCGACACTTCCGAGCTCGTGAATCCGAAGGAACCCGATCTCCCGATGATGTTCAATGCTTTCTTTATAGCGCAATTTTGCGAGTCCAAATCACTTGGTCTCTTTACGGGCACGAACATGGCAGCGAGCTCGTAGGTTCCGATACACTGACGGAATCTAAGAAATGGACTCCAGAACTGAGTAGAAAAATCGAAGACCGCAAGCCGAGTATGATAGTCGAACATTCACCTGTCTGAGATATCTGCCAGCGAAGCTTCTGCGTGCAGCAACTCCTTCCCCATTAAATTGTCATACACCCCACTGATCGCAGCGGCAGCTTCCATAGCAGAACTGTTCGGGATGTGGGTGTCAATCAGGCTCTGTAACGGAGCCAGGTTGATGGCTGCCTTCTGAACTTGTTGTTTGGCCTCAGGATCCCGAAAGAACTTCAGAGTTTGCTTGATAGAGAGCCTCAATGATGGAGTGAGCCTGAATGGACCATGAGCCCCATGGGAGAACTCGGAGAAATTGTCCTCAGTTTACCTCTCTGATGCATACAGCTTCGTCTCCTTCAAGAATTTGGCGATTCCCGGCCAGTTCAAAGCCAGGAAACGGAGTTGACGAGAAATCTGTACCGTCGCAGGCTCTGATAATTTTTCTGCAACCGATAAGTATTGCACAGGTACGTCGATTTTTTGTTTGTTCAAATCTTGTATCAAGGTCGCCAACCTATCGAACTCTCGTCTCAATTCGCAGAAGTGACCAGACCTTGATCCAGACCCATCTGCCTTCTCCAGTGTCTCGGTGAGCTCAATCAAGAGTTCCGAGATATGGAATCGGAAGTCGTGCGTCTCGTACACGTGGTTGAAGCGGGCATCCTCCATCGAAGGCGAACTGCTCTGAGCTCTCAGCTCCTTGACTCTCTCCATTGCTTGTCTTCTCGCATCCCTGCAAACCTGCCTATCGTCACTTATAACTCCAATAACTCTCTCCAAAGGTAGATCCAACAGGCCCTTCTCAACCAGCTCCGGCATACTCTCGACATAAGAATCACTCGTGAACGTAGCACTGCGCCAAGGAATAGCATCAGCTCCATTCCTGTACACACTTAGAACCAGCAAGGAGACCGAGCTGATTTTCGAAGGCCACACATCGACCATGAGAACTAAGGGCGAGGCTGATTCCACGAGAATTGATGAAATGTCTTTCGGGAGGGACAACGATATCTTCTCGATAGACTCCACGATCATTTCTGGAGTCAAGGAATACGGTGGCCGAGAAAGACCAGGTCTCACCATACTCACGATAGCGGAGAGGATAGACAGCGAAGTACGATCGAACTTATCAATGCGGCACCCATGCGCGAGTAAGAACTCAATCAAACGAGCATAGAACTGATCGACCACTCGTCTTCGGGGGAGTTCAATAAAATACTGTGCAGCTGCACGACGGTTAGACGAAATCGAAGACCTCCTGCTCTTCTGGTGCTCGAGCTGAGGTATAGGGGACTTAGAGGTTGGGAATACTGCATCCTCCTCAGGCAAGGACTCCGGATCGCTGTCACACTCTCGATGTATGCTGCTCGAATCAGCCATGTCATGCTTGTCCGTGGAGCAAGACTCTCGCATCAGTAGAGCATCCTCGTCCTCCCGGGGGCGACGATGAACGTGATCGATATATCGCGCCGAACGCTCATTCGACTCTTTTCCCGCTAAGCCCTCACTCACGTGCCTGCTCGGCAAAATCGGCCGCCTCGTCCCTTCCAAAGCCCTGATGTCCTCCAAATGGCACTCTTCAAGATGCATTGTAGCCCGGGATGGATTGAAGTACCCTCTCGCAAATTCGTCGCAGAGATCGCAACTGTAGGCTCCATTCGAAGATACCGAGAAATACTCCCACGGATCTGGTCCTTTACGTCTCTTCTGCCTCGGGCGGTTGGCGATAGGCATGAGATGGATTGGTATCGTACTACATTTGAATCAAATGATTTGATCACAAGAGCTCATCCCAAAAACCAGCTCCAGTTCATCATTGAAAAGCTCGAATTTTGAGCTTCGAAATGGGACCCCGTATTCCAAAATCGCTTCTACCTTACGGGATGTTTGATGGTGCGTGAAAACGCTCCGGGCGGCTTCCACTAAGAGATCTCCACTAATCCATAAAGATTGGCGTCGTCAACCCCGTTAGGTTCGTCAATCTGGCGAATCTTAAGATTAAGACTCTAATCTCACAAACTTGAAAACTCAAAGAACGTTTCAGAAGTCTCTTGCTCTCAACTTGAGACTTCCAGACTCTCAAGTGTGAGGAGACTAATCTCGAAATGAGATCAAGCTAAAGCTACAGTGTTGGTTCTGAACTAGGCAACGTTTGAGAAGCTTACAGCGAAGAACAGAAGTTGTGCGTGTTTTTTCCCAAAATCAAGTTAAACACAAAGTGAGAAAAATGCTTTAGAACTTCATTAACCGGGGATCGTGCTCACGGGGTTTGTGGCACGCGATTATCTACTTCGGCGAAGAATTATGATGTACTTATCCGCATTTCCGCGAGTTAGGGAAGGTAAGTAAAAGGGGTCTCGATTAAACACGGTATTGCAGTCTCTCGCTGATAAAAGATTTGCACCGTCAAATTGACGGCGTCAATTACCAGTCGACATTCCCAAAATTTGTAAAATGATTTTACTAAAATCCTTGAGACAATACATGCATACTGCGATGATCATAATATGATCTATGCGCTATTATGATGGTCCTCGTGCTCTCATGGTCTCGCATACTGTTGCAGTCATACATGGAGCTGATAAAGGTGATTGAATGTCACCCAAAACGTAGTTTTGGAAAAAATTGAGAAATATTTCAAATTTTTCAGAAAATTTCTGAAAAATTCAGTAATATTTCAGGTGAAATATTTCACGGTCTGGCGGCACCTTAGTTCAGCCACCCTGATGCCTAATTGATAATTAATTTGGGGATGACTTTCCCGATTCAGCTGTGAAAGCCGCTTGCTCGGATAAAGACTGCCGATTCAATGGGGTTGACCATTGCATGGTTTAGAGACTTTTCTATCATTAAGGGGCTCAATTCGATGAAGTTGAGTCTCGCAACTTTTCGAAGAGGCTAGATTTTACTCGGCACCAAATACGGATGCTTATGCGTTGAGTTGAGACTCTACCGCTTGTCTCTCAGAGAAAGAATCCTGAGCTGGGCAAATCCTATCTAGGATCGATGTAAGATAGGCTATCTTCCATAAAACTAGGAAGGCATACCGTGGTGACTCTACCGTTTGTCGTCGGTCCTCAATTCGTCGCATATGCTCCTCATACTGCCGCCAATCTTGTCGTTCCTTCTCAATCCTCTTCCTTGCCCGTAGTTTGATATCTTCCAATTGCTTCTTATTTTTCTCCTCCGCTCTCTTTTGCCGCTCGAGTAGAGCCTAACGGAACAATATCCAACTCTCCCTAACTGCGAGGCGAGCCGTTGCCACGTCAAATGTGTCACAACATCCACAGTGCATAACGAGTCAATACAGTCCTCAACCGAGGGAAAATATCACGATTGCCAGTAGCGACGCAGTGCAGTAGATCATACGGGCACACATAGTAGACTGCTCTGAGCAGTGCGGCAGACGTCTTCCTGAAGTGTTTGTAAGTCTTACAGTCAGATTGTTCTTCGCTTTAGCTTCCCTCCGTGCCTCCAGCGAGGCTATGTTAGCTCTCCTTTTCTCGTCCTTGTCTTTACGATCTTGTTCTCGTTGAACTTCTTCGTGTCGTTTCCTGCTTGCTGACTGGATCGATAAAAGCCGTGGTAGATACCGTAGCTGCTGGGCCCGCTTCTCGTCTGTTTCTTCTGCCACTATGGTTTTCCGGACTCTAGCCGTCCCCTCAGCAACATTCTTCTCGCTGACGATCTGTGGCACACATGTCCGGGTGCAAGCGACGGTAATCGAGTCACTTTGGCTGAAATTTTTTGTTTTCTTTCCTCCTCCCTCTTTTCTATGGACGCCGCTCTCTTCTTATCTAGTTCCACCAAAAACATTCTCAGCTTCGCCCTTCCCAGATAATCCAGCTTTGCTATTGGAATCTTATCCTAATGAGAGGACATCGTCTTCCAATAACTGAGGGGCTCACCGTATTATCGTTGGAGGCATCAAGCCTCGGCGGTTCGCTCGTTTCGGCTGATTGTAAGGCGAGTCGTAATCCCCCCTTTTCGTCAGACACCAAGTCCAGCCGGCTGAGGATCCAGTAGAACCTGCAGAGTATCCAGTTCCAGGGTGTGTTAGATGACTGAGCGCGGCACCTTTCACTCTTTTTGTTAGGATTCATGAGTTCAGCATTAAAGCGGAATAAACGGTCAAACTCCGCGTAGGAGAATTCCAGACTATAAACCTCGCTCGTTTCCACAGAGAAGAGCGAAAATAATATCTTTCCGAGTTCTCGACCTAAGTTGCAAGAGAACTCTTTGGTCAGCCAAACACCACGAGTATGGTGGTGATCAAGAAATTCTATTCCGTCCGGCTTTCACTACGGTTGGACTTAATTTTTTTCGATGGATCCGTCCCTACCCTCGTGGACTTGTTTTAGGGTGTTAATCGCTTTTCCTGTATACAGATTGCCTGTATCGCTCACAGCACATATGTATTCGCCTCTCTTGTACAGTTCTTTCGTTGCCTGAAGATGCCGAGCTTCGGACGTAGT